CTTTAGATATTTCTTCATCTGATAGTTGATTTAGGTAAGGGGCATAAACCGTTCCTTTCACAGAATTTAGATTTTCATGAAATTTGCAGTTCACTTGACATATGCCGGGTATTTCTTTAATTGAAACAAATTTGTCTGCAGTTTTCTTATCTTTTGCTAAGAGTAGTAAGCTACCATCTTTTAGCTCTGATTTAATTTCGATATCACTGCTTATTACTTGGAGGGTTCTATGCACAGCGAAGGACGAATAATGTGAAAGAGGTTTTTTATCATTTGCTGCTGATATGATCAGATATTTGGGGTTAGGTAATGGTGTTGTAGGGTTTGGTAGAGTTGGGAAATCTGTGATAGGGGATGAAGGACGTTTCTTTTTTTTGGAATGGGAACTGGTTGCCAACGGGGCGAACCGATTGTCCCCAAAGGTGAAAGCCCCGGGGGGCATTTTTACACTCCACTTGTCTCGCTACACCAAATATATGGAAACCACGTGTAATTAAATGCGTAACTAATTGCGGTGAAGTTGTTTTTGTGTAACGAAGGATCGGTAGAAAGAAAACTAGAAAAAAATATGAGAGCGCAGTCGAAAGAATACCGTACACGATGAAGGCTAGTCGACGACTGTGAAAGTGTTTTATTTTCCTAGTTTATATGAATTGGTATGTTTCATCTAAGTGTACTTAGGAAATATCTCCCGCAGAAATAACAAACATTTAAAATTCGTCAAATATTGCGTTGTCAATTAATTCTTTAAAAAATGACCACACAATACAAAATAAAACGTAGATAACTTAACGGTACCACAAATTTGAAATCTAGTGAACGCGTACGTCATAGCTATGCGTTGTTCTATTACATTTAATTCGATGAACAGTTCAGATCTTGTTGATTTAGTGCTTTTAACAATGCCTGGCAAACGAACTAATGAAAATCTTATTCAATTAGTACTTTAATTAGCACGAAGGGAAATTGGCTAAGGAGTTAGCGAAAATGTTTTCCCCATCAAACTTTGAACGATTTATAATATTATTAAACGCGCAGAAAAAGAAAACAGGTTGGAGTTAAAGCACTCTGGTGGTAGACCACCGAAACTTTCTTGAAACGATCATTCAAAAATTTTAAAGCTGATTAGTGATAAACCTCAACCAAACAATCCGAAAAGTCTTAAAAATATACAAGTATATCACAAATAGCTAGAAAGAAACCATTGTTTTTGGTAGTCAGTACTGAGAAGCGGCTCAACATTTCTATTACCAATGTTTACAGGACTACGGAATACTGGGTTGAAGTTTATTTTTGCAACAAGATATAAATAATGTTTTACTATCATGATGGACCCATGATGGATTTTGGCGCCTCCTTATCCAAGTGCTGTTAGTGGAACTTTAAAACTAATTCTACAGTATTCAACTAAAAAATATTGGAGGTATTGCCGTACCGTGTAAAATAAAATTTAAATTAAACAATGTTTTTCGTAAAGGTAAAAGACGGCGATTTCCAAACGTCAAAATACTCTGTAATGATGTAGAATAATATGTAAATTAAACAATATTTTTCATAAAGGTAAGAGACAGCGAGTTCCAAGCGTCACAATGCAACCCTGCATTCTATAAATTTGTCTTGCAACAAAGCTTTGCAAACTCTAAAATTTTGGAAGCTCATCGTGCAAATAAGTTGCTTTGCGGTGAAATGTCTAATATATAACACATATCAAAGAAGTTACTTATATTATATAATGTTTAAAAAACTAACTTGCCCTCCGACGTCGGCCGGTTTTGCTAAGAATTTATGATAAAATAAAGCATCACAAGCCTTAGCGATGCGCAGCTTGTTCATCAATAACTTTGTCGATGCATTTTAGAATATGAGGCATCGTCAAAGTTTGCACAGTTGCATTTAGGAATGCGGGAAAATGTATGGTTGCTTTGCAACTGGCGTTTTGGAACTCACCCATACTTCGAAAGGCGAAGCCGGTGTTGGTTCGGTCCATTATTACAATCTAAAGTGAGGCCAAAGCAGTTTCACTTGACTTAGAATTTTGAAGTGAATAACATCTTAATTTTGTAAAAAAAAATTTTATTGTATTTTTCTGCATATATTCTTAAGCTATAAATTTTATAGAGAGGCTACGCCTGCCTAGCATACAAACAAACAGTCTGTACTAAAATATTTTTTACCTAGTAGTCTGGCTGGGCCAACAAAAACTTCTTATGTGTTTTTATGTTTATTTCCTTTGTTTTGCCTAAGCTTCCTTTCGCTCCAAGCGTTGACAGTGACATCTGTCGGCAAATAGTTGCATTATTTGAAGCCATGGATTGATGGCACGGTTGCTTTCGGTGTGCCTACCCAGTGGTTATAAGTCTCCTACAGGAGGTGCTCCCCAAAACGGTTCCTCCACTAACAAATATTAGGGCAACGGAATGCTTTGCGGAGGAATTCCGTAAAAAGGGGTGTCGCCTTTTTCTTTAATGCGGCGAGGGGAAATTTATCCAATGCACACTCGCAGGAGAGTTTTGAAGGACGACGAGTAGCTTGCGGCCTGGCTCGTAAGTGCGTGCCGGATCAGATTCCAGCAATCTACGAAAGTGCGAACATCTTTTTTTACGCAGGTGTGCGATTTGCTTAAAAAAAAATATATATTTGTGAGATTTTTTTTTTTTTAAATATAGAGTAGTGGTCTTCCTGTCGAGGCAAGTGATAGTGTAAAGGCAGTTGAAGCCTTGTGGAAAGTAGTGAAAGTTTTAAGCCAGTCGGGGCTTGTTTAAGGGCAGTCGAAGCCCAAGGCAAAATAGGTGTTTTTTTATATTCCAGTGGCGGAACCAGAGCTTGGCGGCATTATCCGGAGGAGCACCGAAGTTGGGTACCCACACCCGACCGAGTAACCACTAAGTATCATTTCGTGTATTTATTGTTTGCTTGCGCTTTGTCGTGCCGACAGTGTCACTACCCTCGCTACGTCCTTGCCCATCCTTCTAGCATCCCGCACCCAGAGCTCAGTCGTACAGGCGGGTTAAAGTTACCCTCGACAGCGAGTGGGTTCGTAACCAGTTCGGTTGGACCACACCTCGGCTGCACCCAAAAACATATTTTGTTTTATTGTCTTAAGTAGTTCGACTTTGCTGTTAACTTGTTGTCTTGCGATTTTTTTTTATATCGGCGTTAGTAAATTCACTTGGTGTTGTTTTTCTCCCCGTTGGATTTTGTTAGTGTACGTAGCTAGCGACCCACGCCGTCTCCACTAAGCTGGCCGGTCGCTTTGTTATTTCTTTGCCATCTCCTTTTTTGTGCGGTAGTTTGTTTTGACGTGTGTGGTTGTTGGTAGGCGCTTGACCAACAGCCACAGTAGGTGGTGTGCACATGCGCACATACATATTGTAATAATAAAGAGTGGAGGTAAAAATTTAAAATATTGTTATTAAGGAACTATAAGTTAGCTCAGAAAATATAAGTAGTTTTAGAATCTAGTCTTTTTCCACTTTCTGTCCATAAAAACTTACTTACGTTAGCCTGTGGCTGAAAACTATATCAGGAAAACAGGACGGACCACACCCATTTTTTTATTTCGTTCTACTTTATCGGTCTGTATTCTCCACTTAATCCCCGTAAGTTTATATTAGATTTTATACGGGTACTCTGATCGGTATATATTGAAATATTAACAAATATCACGAAAACTATAATTTATTTCGGGAAACGGCATACATTTTTGAGATGTACTCTAACCCCATCAAGAGGAAATTTTTTACTAGGTTTGACACACTCTCACAAAGCCCACCTCCTTGCGAAGTAATGTTGTTGCTACGGTTAAAATGCAATAATGCAATCTGAAGCTTCGGAAAATGACGAAGGTGCACCAGATTCAATGTTAGTCATTTAAAAGGTATAATAAAGCTTTCTTGACTTTTTTTCAATAGGAATCCAAGAAACTTATGCAGCCCTTGGTCGGGTAAATTCCGGGTCAACTGCTGGACGTAGAACCGGCTGTCTTGAGAGTTGTTTAATGCTATTGTGGCACTGTGCACTTTACGGAAGCCATGCTGTTGGGCTGCTGGACGCAAATGTTGAGTGAAAGTCGGGCCGATAGGACTATCCTTTGTTAGTTGCTTGGTTTGGCTTGAGTAGCGGGACCACCCTACCCATTTTCACATATCGGGTACAATTAAGGTGGTCAAAGACAAATTGAGGACCATGGTGAGGCGGTTAACTCCGTTGCGTAGAACCAGCTGTCTTGAGAGTTGCAGTTTGGTTGGTCTACACCTGTGGTGCACTACAAAAGCGTATTTTGTTGTTGCATACATACATAGTTAGTTTCTCTGTTTTTAGTCTGCGACATACGCCGTCTCAACTTAACTGGCGAGTCGCTTTATTGAAGTTTTATCACTTAATTTTTTGCGGAAGCTCGTTTTTTTGTAGACGTGTGTAGTTGTGGAGGTGACATATTGGCGCCCAACGTGGGGCCCAACATTCAATTGAATGGTTTTAATATTTTTTTTTTTTTGAAAAGTAGATTGCACGAGATCCTAGTTATAAATTTAAAAGAGAGAAAAGTGGTTGTTGTTTTGTGTATCAGCTTGTTGGCAGATTTTTTTTAATATTTTCATAATGTTATTAGTAGGAATTTTCGAAAGATGTATTTTTTATTGGGAGCCGAACCTAGCTACAGTAACCCCGGCATTCAGCAACTTGATACAGTCACTAATTTACAAACTAAAATTTTTTGCGACCTTAGTCCATTTTGCAATTCAGTCACTAGAGTATCAAAAAATTGGGCCAAAAAATTAGACGCAAATAGAATTATGGCGATCGGCTGATAGCGACCAGAAAAGGCGATGCGCACAAGCCCTTAATAAAAATTAGCTTAACTATTACATGCGATAAATTTCTTAAACAGCTTTTAGAACCATATTTGTTAATTAAAATATACAAAAGCTGCTCATACTTAACGTTAACAATAAATTAATTTTTGAATGTTTCATTTATTGAATCATTTATTTAAAAAAAAGCTAACAATTTCAAATCTATATCAATCGGTTACCTTGTCGTGTCACCTTTATGTACGTACATTCAAATTATTGCAACTATAGGTATGAGTAAGTTATTTGTTATTAAATTTTTTTTTATGTTACAGTTATTTTTTATAATTTGTAGATATCCAAAAGGCACAAAGAACCACAATGGAGCAAATTGAAATGATGGAGACAATTGACAAAAGAAATGAGGAAGAGGCCAAGCACCTCCAAGCATCACTTCAGAGCATCCAAAATTTGGCGGATGCTAAGAACAATATAGCTATTGTCACTTATAACAAACGGTCATAGAATTAATTTTCCGTTTCATCATCGGTTGTTATTAATTGCATTTGCACTGAACTACCAAAAATTTGAATTTGAATTGAAGTGCATTGTTTTTTTTTTTATTTATTGAAGTAGCTGGATTTATTTCTATTAATGGAAGTAGTCGAGTTTTTGTTATACGTAGTGAAGTAGTTGAATTATATATTTATTTTAAATTATTGAACTTAATTACATTTATTGAAATTGTTGAGTTTACTTTGATTATAAAATAAAAATTTATTTGCAACGATGAAAAGAAATTTTGTCAGCGGATGCTTCTTCCAGAACAAGTGGTTTATTTCCTTGTTTATATATATACTAGCGACCCGCTCCGGCTTCGCACGGTTGCAATGCTGATACTAAATACACTACAGAAAAACTGTGAACGTTATATATAAAAACATAGCGGCGTATAAAATATATAGCCTATGTGGTTAAAATCGATCCAGTAGTTTTGATTTATTCATTACTGCCCGTGGCCCGCACGCGTTGAATTTGGAGTAAAACAATACCCCTTTCCCTATAACATGAAGATTTCCTGCTATCTTCAGAATATCTAAATTCATACACTACATTTTTACTTATTTGCTTTTTACGTTTTTAACTATTTATTTTATTTTTACAACATATTACAGAATGTCTTAATAAACAACGTTCAAGACTTTCTTGTCATTAGACAATACGAACATGTTTTCTCTGGAGGTCACTCTTGAAAGAGCGACATACAGTTGTCGATGTGAAAAACAGTCAACGCTGAAATCTAAGCCTGGAGGGAGAACTTCTTCTAATTTGACTTTTCCTTGTAAGCAACACATGATTTCGATTCGTCCTTGAATTTCAATGCCAAGCAATGTTCACACACTACTAACATAGTACCTGTTGATACTATAAGATCGTCCTTGTAAGAAATCGAAGGGTCGTAATTCATTGCAGAATTTTCTTTATTCCCCATGAATTAGTAACTCGTGCTGATGATTCTCTAGCTCTCTGTATTCGATGTCTTTCCCTATCTCAGCTGCGGTGAACCTCACGCTCTACTGAAGATTTTCTCTCTCTCTCTCTCAGCTCTATATCTATCCCGAAGCTGACTGAGGCGAGCCCCACGCTCTACCGACGTTTCTCTGTCCCTCTGAACCGTATGCCATTTAGTAACAAAAGATAATCTACAATCATAAAAAACAGTTCTTTTTTTACTGAAATACCTCAACTTAAACAACGATTTTAGTTAAATTAAAAGTATTTAAAACATACAATAATTTGCTATTCGTGCGACTAAAAGCAAAATATAATCAACAATCATCAACAACAAAAGATACCTATTCTTTTAAGTACTTTTTTTGAACTTACATATCTCACCTTAAATCACGATTTTTGAAAATAGTTTCCCTAATATTAAATTGATCTAACTGTAAATTTTAATCAAGATCTTGATAGAAAATTGCAATCCATAAATTATGGTTTTATTTAATCTGATCTTATCTCACCTTATGTAGGTACTTATAAATACTATAAGTGCGATTTAAAAATTAACCTTAGAATAGAATTTATATTTTAAAACTACTATCATACAATTATTTATCGTAACTTACTTATAATTACTGATACGTTGTCGCGCTGAAAAGCACGTTTTTGTATAGTATAAGTATTGCTATGTTTCTCGCTGGAGAGCTCCGATATAATAAACTCGTCTGATCGCTGCTAAATTCAAAGTGCTACAGGGAAAGCCGCGGCCTCAGACGCGCTATTTATAGGCACGTTCTTGCCGCACCGGTCGGCCGCCCGGTACCGCCGCAAACGCTACGTCCCGCAATTTTTAAATCTGTAATATCTTCGAAAATATTGACCTGAATCATACGGTGTAAAGGGCTATATAGATCTATATTAAATGAACAATGTATTCAAGGTATTTAATTGGTTAAGGATTAATGCTGTATTGGTTAAAATCGCTTCGAAAATTAGCCATTATTTGTCGTAAAAAGTAAATGACAAAAAAAAGTTATTGTGGGTTATCCATAAGAGATAGACATATGCCATCACGGACTTTTCTGTAGACCTTTTCAATGTGTACAATACTTAGTACATTATGTTGATAAAACTTGTAGGGTTCAGCCTGCAATGTAAGCGGGAAAAATGTAATTATTTACGACATCACATTAGAAACCTCAAAAATAACAGTACTTCTCCAATATTTAATGGAAGTTATTTTACAAATAAACCAATTAAAAAATCCGCATCAAAAACCGTTGCGTAGTTTCAAAGATTTAGGCATACAAAAGGACATAGGGACAGAGAAAGCGACTTTGTTTTATAGTATGTAGTGATATAGCTAGCTGTACCCTACAACGCTTCGCTGTCGCAAATACTCCTTGAATGCAATTAAATATTAGTAATGGGATAGCGAATTTCAAGTAAATCCCACCATAAGTGAACTCGATCCAACAGGTCAGTCCCTGGCCCACTTTCCGGTGGGAAGTTAATCTCAGCAAAATGCCAGCTCTTTACCGAATTTAAAGTAAGCCGAACCGTAAGTAGGTCTGTTTTTTTAATGATGCCAACGTTCCGGAGAGAAGAAAGATCTCCCTGTTCATCTAAGCAAAAAGCTACCTACAGTGGGTCACTGCTTATTATATACATCAGGCAGTATAAATTCGAATCTCAATATTTTCTGAACTGAAAGGAATGTTGGGTTTTTAATGATTTAAAAAATTGCACGTTTTTTCTTTAATTAATCTTTTGTTTTTGACGGGATTTTTTCTGTTGGTTGTAGTAGCGGTATCATCCCGCTTAGGGACTAGATTGGACATTGGAGTGTTCTGACGGGAGGTGCAGGAAACTAGCTCTTTTGATGGGCTCTAGCTAAAGGGAAAGGCTAGATGAGTTGGTTTTAGGAGGCATGCTCTTGTTGTTGTTGTAGCGGCTCGCTAACCCCGCTTAGGCACAGGTTTGATTAATCTAAGTCGCCGAGGTCATCTAATGGGAAATCCAGGAAACGAGCTGTTAGATGAGTTGGTTTGAGGGTCACGCGGGTCTCTCGAGGCAGCTCGAACTCATATTCTGCTATGGGTGGTGGTTTTACACCGAGCACGTCATTCATTGGAACGGAGTCTTTGAAGGTGTTGACTGATTCCTGGTGAATGGCGTTCAGTGCTTGTCTGTACGCCGTCCTGTCCAACGGTTTTTGCATATGTTGCTGGATTGGGTCCTTTAGATCTAGTATTCCCTTTCTGATGTGCTTAGGTGGAGGTTCAGATTCCATTAGGTGCATATCGGAGCTGCTTAACTTAACTCGTGATGCTCCGGCGATATCTGGAGGTTTCCTGTCGCAGTTCTGAGGGCGGTGTTCTGGCAAGCCTGTAGCTTCTTCATCTGCGTCTCGTTCGTCCCCGGCGCCCAGATCGGTGCAGCATAGTTTACGACCGGCCGGCCAATAGCTTTATAAGTAGCCAGCAAAGTTTCTTTGTTTTTACCCCAGGTGCTGCCGACTAGCGCTTTGAGTATTTTTTTGCAGCTCTGCAGTTTTGCGACAATTGCAGTTGCATACGCAGCGAACGAGTTCAGGCTGTCCAGTGTCACTCCCAATATCTTTGGGTTGTTTACGGTCGGAATTTTTACGTCATCGACCTTCACATCTAGTTCAAGCCTGTATTTTTTCGTCCAGCTGGTGAAAAGGGTAGCCAAGGATTTGGGCGGCTGTATTTTCAATTGTCGTGCATTGAAGAAGTGAGAAATATCGGCAAGGTAGCAGTTCATTATCGAACAGAGGTCATCAATGTCCTGGCCATACGCCATTATGGTACAATCATCGGCATAAGAGGCTAGGGAAACTCCTTCTGGTGGAAATGGGAGTTTTGCAATATAAAAATTAAACATTAGCGGGGAAAGGACATGACACTGCGGAACCCCCTGCTTAACTTTTCCGGGTTTTTATGTTTCACGTCGGAATATTGTCGATAATTATCGACCACTCAGGTAGCCCGCGACCCACTTCTGCAATCCCGGCGGTAATGAGGATTCCTCATTGTCCGTTAGTAGCACTGAATGATTGACTGTGTCAAAAGCTTTTGGCATTTCCAGTACTACCAGGGCAGTTCGCGCGCAGGGTCGTTTAGGTCAAGAGGTAACATTAGTTTTAGGAGACATCCAAAGAGGTGGTTAGTTTCAGGCGAATGCAAGGGGTCGAGTCTGGATAAGGAGTTTAATCTTCTACAATATGCAGACCCGAGTTGTTTCAGTACTACGCGAGACTCTCGAGAATGGGAGTCATGCTGGGGGGAGCTGCATGAGACCGTGGAGGTCTGGAGGTAGATACCTAGATTGACTAATGGTGGATAAAGCCACTGTCGTATATGCTGGGGCTTAACACTTGTACTGGTTGGCACTGGTTGTATCTAACCGAAATAGAGGAAAGATGGTGTCATTTGTAGCATGGGAAGCACTTCCACATTTTGCGAATGTTAAATACCTGAGTTTACTGAGGTTGCACAATATTTCTTTTGTTGTTCTATTTACCGGCTGTGGCCTTCACGCTGAGCTACTTTGTTTGAGCTATTTTCAGCTTTTCCAATCCATTTTATTATCGAAATTTACCTCCTCCCCTTTGTAAGTTATTCTAAGTAAAGAACTGTGAATAATTAATATACACGTATAACATTATATTTATGTTAACATATAAATGTAGAAATTTAAGTTCTTTAAATTTTGAAACATTCATTTGAAACTGCAACCATACAGAGGTTGTAAAAATAAATGTGAAATAGAATTTAATTTAATTTCAGAGCGACAACAGGTCGCGGTTACACTTTCCTCATACACTAAATAGCTACAGAGAGAGGAAATTTACATAATTATATAATATAAAGCACTCAGTAAGTAGGTTTAATACAAAAAAGCGAGTCAGAGTGAGCGAACAAGTAAAGTAAAGAGTAATTTGGTAACTTATGGGCCCTTGAAATCTTTCACAAAACGTTAGCTTTATTAGCACAATCATTTATATGATTTCTTATATCTTGCTTAAGGACCCCAAATCAAAACCGACAGTAACTTGTTCAACACTGTGATTTTGTATCACATAGGCAAAGGATTGAAAATGTTTTTTGGAGAAACACATATACTTGCATTTATTTAAATTTTACGAACATACCTTACTAAATATTTTAGGTGCAAAAGCTCTTTATCTTCAATAGAATTAACTGATTTAAAGAGCTTGACATCATCTGCGTACATGCGTATTTTAAAATTAAGAACTCCATTTGGAAGGTCATTGATGAATATAAGGAAGAGTAAGGGCCGAGGTGACTGCCTTGAGGGACACCAGATGTTACTACTACTTCACTTGATGCACAATATTTAAAAATTACTTTTTGTTTTTTGCCACTCAAATTCACTTGA